GTTGCCGGTCCCGGTCGGGTCCGGGCGCGACCCGGGGGGTTGCGATCCGTTGCCGGTCAAAAAAAAAAAAAAAAAAAATAGTATTTACTACATGCTAGGCACTGTCCTATGAATTTTACATAATATCAACTTATATAATCCTCACAACTACACTAACAGGTAGATACAACTTTTATCTGCATTTTATAGGTAGGGAAACAGAAAAAATGCTCAACATCAAAGAAATGCAAATTAAAATAGTAACTATTGAACTGTCATAGATTGAAAAGCTTGATAGTGCAGTCTTATGTATTTCTGATAGGAATATAAATTGGAACACCCTTTTTCAATGACAGTTTGGTAGTATATGTGAAGTGTCTAAAATATGCAGACCCTTCGCCTGATTAAGTGTATTTCTAGGAATTTATTCTATAGAAATTTATTCTACAGATGAGTACATAATGTAAGTAATCCTTACTTTCCTACTTAATGGAATTCTGAAAACATTGGTGAAAGTGAGTGTATGAAGATTAAAAAAATAGATTCTGTTCCAGAGGAATTTAAAAAAGAAAGATAAAATTTCTAATTGTACTTTTCCTTTATACCCAATCTTTGATATATATTTCTAGTACTTTGTTCATGTTCTTTACCATTGTTCTTTCTCTGATGATTGAATACCAATGAATTGAGTTCAGTGAGTTTGTGATTGCGGCTCGAGATTAGCCACATTCAGAATGTCAAGTGCTTTTTATCTTTGTGCCAATTATAAAAGTATGTGATACTGTGCTTCTTATCCCTAGTAGCAGCACTTTCATTTTTTTTTCTTTTTTCCACGCCCATTGAAAAAATAAAAGCAAATGCAATAAAATATTCAAAGACAATGAAGCGGCCTGTAGTAATGAATATGTTTATTTCTTAAAAGAAGTACATTTGGGGTATGAAAGAAGCTCTAGGAGTGGAATGTGTGAAAATTATGATCTCTTGTATGAATATGTTCACTGTATAATAGTAAAATGTGAGTATATAAAACAAACTAATGAGACTGATTAAATTTTGATGTCTATTTAAAATAATATATTATTTTATATATATATATTATTCTCTATATATTTGTTGACATGAAAAGATGTTCATCATATATTGTTAAATTAAAAACAGGTTAAAGTGATTTCATCAAATGATTCCATTTTTGTTTATAAAGGAAATACTATCTGTAATTGAGTTTTGTGAATGATGGACTTAAGGCTCCAATTTTATGTTTTTTTCCAGATAGAAAGCTAGTTGTCCAAGCACCATTTATTTAAATGTCCATTTCTCCCCACTGATTGTCAGTAAACTGCCATACATCACGTTTCTATATACGTGTTTCTAGTCTCTCTATTCTATTGTTCTATTTTTCTATACCTGTACTATGCCTCTCTTAATTATTATAGTTTCATAATAAGTTCCTCTATGTTTCTCTTCTTCTTAAAGAGTCTCATGGCTATTCTTGGTTCGTTTGACTTCTATAAATATTTTAGAATGTTTATTAAATTCCACATAAAAAGGTTATTATATTGATCTGGATTACATTGTAACCATAGATCAATTTGAGGAGAAATGACATTTCTACAGTATTGACACTTCTAGTATATGAATGTGGTATAGCTCTTCATTTATTTAGGTCCTCAGTGTCTTTCAATGAAGTTTTATAGTTTTCTCGATAATAATATGTCTTTTGTTGGATGTATTCTTGGTTATCTTAATTTTCAATACTATTGTAAATAGTATCTCTTGCAATTTCATTTTCTAACCATCTGATTTAGTACATTGACAAACAATTGATTTTTATGTTGATGCTGAATCAGCAACCTAATTAAGTTCTTATTAATTATATCAGAAATCTAATTAGATTCTATGGATTTTTAAAAATTTTCTAGAGATTCAGCCATATAAACTACAAATAGTACAAGTTTGGTTTTCCCCTTTCAAATACTTATCCTTACAATCTCTTATTTCACCTTACCACACTGGCTAGGACTTCAGTATGGTGGTGAATAGATTCCTGATTTAGAGAGAATGGCTTCATTACTCATTCTTGAATTCAATATGTGTTTTTTTCTTTTTCGTAAATATCCTTTGTCAGATTAAGGAAATTTTCTTTATTTCCAGTTTACTAAGAGTTTTTATCTTTTATCTTAAATATCTTTTTAAATTTTATTGAGTACCTTTCCAGTATCTATTGAATTTTCTCATTTAATCTGTCAGTGGAATAAAATAAATTGATTTTTTGAATGTTAATATGAGAATTTTGGCTAAGATGGAGGAAGCAACTACTTTACCTTTGTACCTTAAACACCTTAAAAATGGACAAAATTTATGAAATTGTTGACAGACACAGATATGAAACAAGCAGCGTAGTACAGTGATCACAGAGGGAAGGTAATCAAACAAGGTGGGCCCGATGCTTGCCCCAGCTTGTTGCTGGAGAGAGGCCATGGTATGGGGACAGAGAGCCCAAATGGAGCCCAGTGGTCTCACTCTATTGAGGGAATCTTTCAGCATTTTGGGAAATCAAGGCAGATAGAATTTCAGGGCACAGTACCAGAAAGCCACATGGCGAAAAGAGAGCTGTGCCGGAGACCTGCAGAGGTCTCATCTGGAGTCTTCAGCTGAGTACTTACTGGTGCAAGCATGTGAGGAACCACCTGAGGTGGAGAAAGAACTGTGGGCAAAGAAGAGGCACGGTCCCAGGAGATTCAGTCTTATTGTAGGGACAGGAACAGTCCGTGATCCCACCAGCCGGAGTGGAAAATCCTTGTCGGAATGGGGCATTGGGTCATGTCCTCAGAAAGGTATTGCCTTAGTAGAGGGGCAGAATTAGTCCCAGACCAAAGGCTGCTCTGTTCCCTCCTAACAAAGCTTAAACCTAACCTCTGAAGAATCTGTTTCCAAGTAACTTAATTGTGCCTCCAGAACAAAGCTTAAGAACAGGGACAGCAAAGGACAGCCCAAAGGCCCAGCTGTTCTGCTGCCTGTATCTGTACAGCCTTCAAGCTAAGAATGTTGGCTACGTTTATAAATAGTTGCAAAAGATCAAAAGAAGAGTATTATTTAACAAAATTATTACATGTAGTGAAATGAAATCCAAATTTCAGTGTCCATAAGTAAAATTTTATTGGAATACAGGCCCACTGGTTTATTTAAATGTCATTTCTGGCTGCTTTCACGCCACCGTGGTAGAGTTGAAGAGCTGTGATAGAAACCTTCTCACCAGGAAGCCTAAAGTGTTTTCTCTGCCCCTTTACAGAAAACGCTTGAGACGTGGCTCTCCCCTGAGGCTCTGCTTTCCCAGCAACACTTTAAAGTGGTGGCTATTTCCTTTCTCCTTCCTCCTCCTGTACACTAGGCCTGGTGATTAGGTAGTTGTCCTCCTCACCCCTCATCACTGCTTTAAACCATTCTTTTTTCTTCCCTCTAGCACCCTCCCCTAGCTTCCACCATCCTATCATCAGACTGTACCACCATTCCTGGTGTCTCCTGATCCCTGGGCCATTCCTACTCATTTTTCTGTTATTTCCTGGCCCATTGTCCCTCTCTAGTACTACTTCTGTCTCATTCTCAACGCAGCAGCCAGAGTGAAGTCTGAGCATATTTCCCTCCGTAGAACCCTCCAGTGGCTCTCCATTTCACTTAGCCTAAAAGCCAAATTCCTTATGATGATCCACCAGTCCCTACTGAGCTAGCTCCCTTCTCCCCTGTGTGTCTTCATCTCGTCCCGTTGTCCTTGTCACTCACTCTGCTCCAGCTGCATGGCTCCTCTGCTGTTCCTTGCACGTTAGGCATGCTCCCACCTTAAGGCCACACCCCAGCAGTTCCCTTTTTGTGGATGGCTGATTCCTAACCAGTGGTTCTCAAAGTGTAATCCTTAGATCAGCAGCATCAACACCACCTGGAACTTGTTTGAAATGAAAGTTCTTGGGCCTCACCCCAGATCTACTGAACCAGAAACTGAGAGTAGGGCCAGACTCTGAGTTAGTTTGTTTTTTAAAGTTATTTTTTAATTGATAAATAAAAAACAGAGTCTGAGTGTTAACAAGCCCTTTGGTACTTGCTAAAGTTTAAGGACCGCTGCCCCTATTATCCACTTTGCTAATTCTCTCATCTTCTTCAGGTCTCTGCTCAGAGGTTACCTTCTCAACTGAACCCCTCTTTAAAAATGTAGGCACTGTCATCGATGCCACCTCATGTTCCTTGCTCTATTTCTTTGATCTCATTTCTCATAAACTCTAATGTACTTCTAGTATACTTATCTTCTAGTACGCTGTATAATTTACCATTTTGCTATGGTTTAAAAAAAAAACAAATACACCCCACAGTGTAATGTAAGTTCTTTGTAGGCAGAAATTTATGTTTCTTTTGTTCATTGGTGTATTCCAAGCACTTTGAAGAGTTCATGGCACATGGTTGGCACTCAGTAAGTAGTTGAATAAAAGGTGAACTTTGAACAAAGTCTTATGTTTTGTAATTCCTAGTTGAGAGATAAAGTTGTGCTTTGGGTGGTACCCTTTAATCTTAGGCAAAGGCTTTAGGCTCTCAGAGGCCTGTGGGTTATCCTGAGGCTACAGATTTTGAAACTACCCAAAAAGAAACAAAACCTCTACTTGAAGCTGACACAGATGTGTTGGAATTGATTTACAGAGGGCTAGGTTTATATTGCTAGCCACTGACTGGTAGCAAATTGTGAGGAGTGGTATAAGAACCAGATCTTTTTTCATAACCACTTCCTTGTAGCTCAAATCTTCCAGTGCTTTCTGTGGTTGGAAATGGAGTTTTTAAAACATTATCATGGAATCAATGGATTGCTGTTTTTCAACTCTGGTTTGATGCCAAATTTGTATGTAGAGCATTAAAGACACAGATATCTGGGCTCTGTACCAAGTGGCTGATACCATGGTCTGGTGTGATGCTGATATACAGAGAGGACTAAGAATTGCTGGGATAGACAGGCAGAAAGTTTGGCCTGCAAGGAAGGAAGGAAGGAATCCTAGAGACTATAACAGCTGTGATTATTAGTGAGTAACAGAACTTTAAAAACCCTCACCTTGAGTTTCTATTTTTTATACGTAGAAAAAACAGAGCAATAGAGATGAATTTTATATAAATTATACCTCAGTAAAGATCATAATGAAAAATAAGCCTGAAAATATATTTAGGATTAAGTCACTAGAAGTAAACTCCCTTACATAATGCACAGCTTCAAAGTATGAACCCCTAAGGCTGCATTAGCCACAATTTTAAGAGTATTGATGTTAGTGTTCTTAACCTTTTTAGACCAAAGAAGACTTTATGAACATCTGCATTGAACCTGACACTGTCAGCAAAGGAGACTTCATAACTGTGGGGTAAGTGGACTGGGGCTTGTAGAAAATGAAACTTAGTTTGTATCCTCAGACTTTACTGTTCTGAGTGCCCCATGAAGTCTAAGATAGAAACCCATGAAGGCCTAGTCTTGTTTGGGAATTTTGACTTTCTTTTTTTCCTATGGCCTGATACATATAATGCCCCTCTCCTATTCTGACCACCCGTTCATTTTGGGAAGATCAGAATGTAAGAGCAGTTTTTGCCTTTCAATTGAAAGTAAAGAATTCAGTGTGGCATGGCATAGTGTCAAGAACTTTGTTTTCAGGGTGAAAAAGCTCAATACAAATCTCGATTCTCCCATTTACTAGTCTCATGACTCCAATCATTTAACTTTTCTTAATCCCTACCCCCCATCTATAAAATGGAATAATATAATCATCTCTACCAATCTCAGGACTCTTTTTCAGTCTCCAGTGACAGAATGTATGTGAAAAGTCTTTTTAAATTGTGAAGCACTGCACAGTACACGTTACCATTCATGTCAGATCCTCTTGTTCTTCCGTTCCCAGGACATTAATGAAAAACGAAAAGATACTGAGTACTTTGGACATTTCTCAGGCTTTCCCCCCTTTTCCAGTACAGAATACCCTTCTAAGTCCTATCTGATTTGTTAAGCCCTATCCTCTGCCAAATTTTATTGGTTAAGAATACTTTAAACCCTCCACCAGTCTTGAAAGCAACTGAGGGGTTGGCGTGCCAACTGCTAATCTGCTCAGCTCAATTTTTCTGTGCTTTATGTCCGAGCTCCCTCTTGTGCCCATTTAGGGATTAGACATTTCTGCTGTAGCAGCCTGGTCTCCATGGCTACTTCATTATCTCCACCAGCACCCGCAGCAGAATGGTTGTCAGTGCTTTGTGTTCTTGCCTTTGGTACAAATTCTTCTAATGCTGAAGAGCTGATTCTGCACCCTTTGATTTACTTGCTGTATCTGCAGTAAAGCAGCGAAAGGAAAAACCCGTCCCTCTTCCTCTAGAATGTCCAGAAACCACACACTGTCTTAACTGAGAGTTTGGTTAGTAGGACCAGCTGTATTCAAATCTATTTTACAATATTGATACCCAAAAATAGAAAGCCCAGGGCCAGCCCGGTGGCGCACTGGAGAGTGCGTCACTTGGGAGTGTGGCGGCGCTCCCACCGAGGGTTCGGATCCCATGTGGAGACTGGTTCCCGCNGCGATCCCGTTGCCGGTCCCTGGTACGGGCGTGACACCGAGGGTTGCGATCCCATTACCGGCTAGTAAAAAAGACAAAAAGGAAAAAAAAAAATAGAAAGCCCAATTATATTTCTTAAGTTGGCTGAAGTCATTATTTTTCATGTTAGTGTTAGCAGCAGCAGCAATACAGTTTCCTTTTGGTCCCTATGGGAAGTGAAGTCCAGTAATGTCTCTTTCTTCTGGATATCTGAGAACATTGTGAAGTTGCTTTCAAAAACTCTGATGACACTTTCATGTACTAATGAATTACTATTGTCAATGAATGACAAATAATGGACTAATTTACTTGGATTAGCTTTTACTCTTTTTCTACTTACCATAACTACCTATAAAGGGTATACATACGTGAAATGGAGTGTTGTGCCTGTGACTGTACGTGTCTGGTAGTTTAGCTCCAGAGCCATTTAGTCAAAGTAAATATATAGTATGCTAATTAGACTGTTAATATGAATATAGGGAATCATCAGAGGACTTCTCAGACTAGTTGTTCGTATATATAAAAGAAATACCTACTTTAAATTAGAATAAAAATATTTCTCCTTCAAGTAATAAAGAATCACAAGAAGTTCCAGATAGCAGATATGTAGTACTGTTCCTAAAGACCTTAATTTCATTCTAATTTTTAAATTTGAGATTAATTGCCTAAAAATTAGGTACATGTGGAATGATTTAAAAATAAACAATTCAGAGAAAGTCCCTCCGTCTTAACTTCATGCACACTTCTCTACAGCAAGTAAGCCTTCTCAATCTAGAATATGTCACAGTCAAGCAAGAGTCATTGCAGGAAAAATTATTCACAGAACCCCAGGGCTTAACAGACTATCTGTCCATCTATTTAACCTTAAAAAGAGGGAAAGAACTTGCTATGTGGTTGCAGTCTAATGCAGTTGTCATCACTGGTTTCCACTCTTGCTTTTTCTGTACCAACAGAAGTAGAAAGGTGAGAGACCCCAAGCTGCATGCCGATGGCACCGAGTGTCTCCAAGCCAGCCAGTGCACCTTGCTTCTTCCTGAGGTGAGTGCAGGGGTTAGTGGGCCTTTAGGTTCTTTCTTGGTCTGTCTTCCTTTCTGGTCTTTCCCCCTCCTTCCTGTCTATTAACTGACCAACATTTAGGCACCTTTTATGTGCCAACCATTTTGCCAGCCTCTGGGTCATATTAAAGGAGACCTGAAAAGGATGGCTGAATCCTCTCCTGAGTTTGGATTCAGAGTTGGACTCCTGAAGATTTCCAATGTTTCCAAGCCAATGTTCTTCTAAAAAGTGATCTTTAGGTCTCCTAAGCTTTCATTTTTCCATATGTAAATAATGCAAAAATTTACCATATTATAATGCACAGAGAATTCTCTAGCTGGCAAATGTTAATAATGGGTTTTACCTTAACATTTTTTATAAAGAATCTGGAAGCAGTTTTGAGTTCAGCACTGAATTTTTCTGTATTGTGAAATGCCATGTTTAGAAGAATAACCTGTATAAGTGGAAAAAAGTTGGAAATATAATTTGAGTTGTAAGGTTAGTTATTCAATTAGTGATACCTCAGGAAAAAAAGAGTTATTACAGATCAGATTGCCTCTGAAGACTGTGACCATCATACTATGGTATTCATACAGGACTGCAGGTAAACAAAAGGTATCCCCACAGTGACAGGCACCACAGTTTCAACATAGCAAATTCTGAGTTAAGTGCGTGAGTTATGGAAGGGTTTCACGGCTCTGCGATGAGATTACTGTTGATACACCTTAGGGATAAAGCCAAGCAAGTCTCAGAGAAGATGAATGAAAGTGATCCAGTGGACACAGCGGCTTTCATAAGAGAATTAGCTGTCTCTCTTGCTTTTCACTTGAGAAAGATTAGAGCCAAGAGGGCTATATTATATTTATGAATTCCTTAAAGATGTGGTAGGACCCCTGCCTTTTAATAAATATTTGAAAATTATAACCTTGTTGTTCAAATCCCGAAATACTCTTGGAAGAAATGGGGGCCAAAAAAAGAAAGTAAATCCTCTTTCATGAATTGGGATTTCCAGAACCAGCACTGTGCTCATCATAGTAGGCACTGAAATATTTTTTAAGGAAACCTCAGGATAATTCCTCAGAGATGATGATGTTTTCCTCTGCTCTGGTGCTGCAGTGGTGACAGACTTCCAGCTCAAGTGGGTTGCTGGTGTGCGTGTGAGCTGTTTGCATGTTCTCTCCTCCACAGGGAACAGGGGGCTCTTTTAGCATTGACAGTGAGGAGTATGAAGCGATGCCTGTGGAGGTGAAGCTGCTGCCCAGGAAGCTGCAGTTCTTCTGTGATCCCAGGAGGAAAGAGCAGATGCTGCAGAGCACAGCCCAGTGAGCAGCAGCAGGAGACGGGGCACCGAGACCACACTTTAGGCCACCTGTGGGACCAAAGGGAAATGAGGGCCTCAACTGTCCCAACAGTGTTGTCACAGGATCCCAAGGGCGTTTTCCTAGCAAGTACCCCTCTTTGCAATCAGCTTTCCATTAGCGCATGCTTTTCTTTTGGTGTGACAGTTGATCCCTCTTAAATATTGATTTTCCTCAGGCTGGTTCAAGGAAGTTCTCACACTCAGTGGATGGAAAAGGGCTAGAATTTTGTCTCCCAAAAGTGCAACCACAGTGGACAGCAGGATCCTTAGACTGTCTGAGCTTTATTCCTGTTATGTTCTTTGAGCATCCTACAAATTCCAGGGAGGTACCTGCCCTCCCTGGCTACCTTGTCCTGCTTCTGAGCTCCTTCACGGTTGCTGCTGCTCTATGAGTGCTGGTTCTTATTTAGCTCTGGTTTCAGTTCTGTCCTTAATCCAAAACATATGTGAGGGTGTTTCCCTTTTCAGCCATGTATAAAATGTTGTAAAATGCTAGTTTTTTTTTTTTTTCTTTTAAGTAGTGTGTTTCTTAAATGTTGGTTTGCATGAGAACTACCTGGGGTGCATGTTGAAAATTAACTTACTTGGGTCCACCCTAAACCTAATAACTCAATCTGCATTTAAAAAAAAAAAAAAAAAAAAAAAAAAAAACCCAGCTTTTCCAGGTGATTCTTTAAATGGTCCTTCAAACTTACTTGGAGAAAGTGTTGTAAAGCAGTAGTCCACAAACTATTCTGCTCATGTTCCCCCAAAAGTATTTTGAAAATTCATGTATCCCTCACACATCTTCATTGATATTTAACATTTTTCATGGGAAGTTAATTAGTTGCCAAAGTATGTACTTTCTGGTGTTGTGTAAATATTGATATTTTAAAATAAAAACTGTTACATAACTCTTAAACATATCCAGTGTAATTTAAATACCATAGCAATTTGACACCCTTCATTTATAAAAATAAATGAACTAGTTCTGTAGTAGTAGAAAATTTTAAATTGTTTTTTTCTCCTGTGTATTTCCATACCATTTTCAGCAAAGAATCTTATGTAATCTATTTCTATGCTTGGCTTTTTTTAATTCATTGCCTCATCGTCTTCTCATCAGCAAAAAATATAAATGGAAATAAACTTTTTTAGTTCTTGGTTTAAGTGTTAACTCAGTAAAGAACAATGTTATAATTATTGGTATGTTAACAATATTATAACTTTTGATAATTAAAATTTAACAATTTATTAGTGTTCTTTATCCTAATTAGTTCATTTATCCAAGAATACATAAATGTTATTTAGCTGAGATGGTGTTCAACATCAATTATATTCCTTGTTTTATTTTTTATAGATTTAAGAACATAAGCAAGTAGATGGGAATAGAAAGAATTACAACAATGTCATGCAGGTTAAAAATTCCTTTGGAGTTACATCACAGTGCTGTATCATCAAAAATTATTAATAGTTTATCAAATAATAACTTGATCCTCTTTAAGTATGTTGAAAGCAGAGAACTAAAAAGTACCTGATTTGCTAAGGATTTGTTAGCTAGTCATTAGCACTGACTTTTAGTACTGCCACTGACATGAGGTTGAGGGCAGGGCACCACCGAGCAGGGTGAGATGATGCCTTTCTTTTTGCGAGGAAGAGGAGAGAAAATTGTGAAGGGGCACGTGTGGAAGCAGAGCTGGCAGGCCCTAGCGACAGGCAGATCAGGTTTAAGACAGAGGACACAGTCCAGGCCCATGCATCCCACAGAAGTGAAGACCAATGTTTTAATGGATTATATAGGAGCTACGAAAAGCCCAGAAATGAAGATCACAAGAAATAAGGCTTACTTATTTGTTGGTCCCCACTGTATTCTTCAGAGTGGTGTTAAAAGCTCTGCTTTTAGCAAAACAATAACAAAAAAAGTGGGTCCAAAAATCAGCATGAGGATCACCCACCCCACATATCCACAGAGGGGAGAGGAGATACTGTGGTGTAAGAGAAGTTTCTACATGAGCTGAGAGAATTTAGCATTTTGTAGTTCAACAGTGTGAAGGACCAGTACAGAATCTGGCTTGCTTCTTCCTTGAATGGCTTCCAGTGTATGTGTATCTAGTGATTCCAGTCATAATGGTACATGTGATTGGGGAAGGATATTTACATACATGAAGAATGTTATTTTTAAGTATAAATATGCCTTGTTTCAAATTTTGTTTTATTGATTTGGGCTACTTCCTGTGAGGACGTGGTTTCCTCATCTTGTGTTTCTTTGTTTTTTGCATTGCCTTTCCGTGGGATCCCCATGCGAAAGATGGTTTAACAATGTGGCTGCGCAAGAGGGATCCTTGTCATCTAAAGCTGGAATGCTGAGCTGTCTGAAGAACTTGGGTCCCCTTCCTCCTGTCTAGTACAAACCTTTTGGCAGATTAATTTTACTCAAAAGCTAAGATTATTTCTATTAAAAATATAGCAGAGACTTTATATAAAATATAGTGTACTATAAAGCTTTTTCCTTTGCCCCATGGCTGATTTCATGTATTTGCTTGCACAGTTATAATTACTAAATGCCAATGCTTAAAACTTGCAACTGATTTATCAGTTCTCACAAAAACCCTAGGAAGTAGGTAATAGTATAGGATCAAGTAGCTTGGAAAGTAGGAACCTGACTTTGAACACAGGCCCTTTGATAGCAGAGCCACCAAAGACAGCAATTTACTCTATATTGGTTTAAAATACCTCCCCAAAGTTTAAAAATGAAGTAAAAGTTTAGAATACACACACACACACACACACACACACACCCTCCTGCCACCCCACACACACCCCCTTCTGCCCCCCGCCCAATACATAATGTTTCAAACTAAATCTTGATAAGAGATTTTGTGAAACGAATGGGCTTTAGTCTGCGTAGGGTTCTTCTACAAGTCTCTGGCGTGATTGTGAGTGCACAGTCCTGGCTCTTCTGGATGGCATAGTTATTCCCTACTTTGATTTTCATTATGTGCAGAATGTCTGTCCATACCATGACCTCTGCAAGAGACAGGGAGCAGCTCCCCAGTCTCCACCGTCATCGCTGGGAGTGAGGTTGGCCCTCGGCCCCCCGACTCAGCCCCCCCGGGCTCTGCTCGTGGGTTGGGCCATCATTCCTTCCTACCACAAACCACATTTCTTAGACTAGGAGTAGGATTACCTCGGCCCCCCGGGCTCTGCTTGTGGGTTGGGCCATCATTCCTTCCTACCACAAACCACATTTCTTAGACTAGGAGTAGGATTACAGGACACACGTTCGTGTTAAAATGTGAACTTTAATTGTAAAATTTGTTTTCTGTAAATATAGTTATATCAACCTCTGCATACAACTTGGTTCAGATATATACAGATATGATATACATAGATGTTATTTGTACCACAGAACAAAATCAATGCAAAAACCATTTATTCTTAGCTTTAGGATTAATCCCAGCTTTTTAGACCTTTAAAATGATCACCATTGAAAACAGAGAACAACATACCTGTATGCAGTAGTATTCTGGGCAAAATTTATGAACTGTCTTACTAATTACATAAGATGAGGTAAAGACTTGAAACAAAAATAGATTCAGTTTCTCTTATTGCTGTAACTCTTATGCTGGGATATTAATCAAAATAGGGTTTTACATTTAAGGCGACAGGGAGGCTATGCTGATCCCAACTCAGAAAAATAGGAAAACAGTTTTTCCAAGGCTACAACTATTTCAGGAGATGCTATACAAGACCTATACAAAAATTTAGCCAACAAGCTTTGGGTAAATAAAGGAAGTTCAATTTGTTTTCCTCTACTCTACCCTAAAGTCACCCAGCCAGGGTGTTCAAAAGCACACAATTGCCGCCTTTCTTCACTGACGGTCTTTGTGGGCATGCTAGACCCAAACTCTTTTTTCCCATCTCCACCTTAACATTTTTATATACTTTATCTTTGCTTAATTTACCCAAAGGAAGGAGTTTTCACTCTAATGTCAATTAAATATATTTGCAATCAGCTAACTCAGTTACCTCTGTGTGGATTTTTCATTTTGTGGATCTGGCTAACTTATAATACTCTACCTTAGACCCATTCCCCAACTATCCTTAGCAAGGTAATTTTATTATTAGTCTAAATAGGCATTCTACAGCAAACAAGTAATTTGCATCTATTTTATTATGGTAATTAAGTTTTCTGAATTTAGGTCATATTAGCTCTAAAAGCCTGTACTATGCTGAAATTCTAGAATAAATTCTAAAAAGATGAAAGCAGAACTTTATTTTTCCATCGTTTCTCTATATAGCACTAGAAAATTCTTACTTTTTCTGAATTTGCAATTTTATCCAACTGCCCTAAATTCCAGCTCCAAAAATGAATTAAAGTGCTAAAGACTACCTCCCACTCCCACCTCTCTCCAATTGACTAAGAGGCCTAATAATCAGAACGATCACATTTACCCTCTTTTGTACTAGAGTTTTACTTAAAGTTGGTGTTTGCATGCCTTCCCTCCGAAAGAGTGTTCCTTATGAGTGTTAAGATTTCACAGCACAATTTCCTTATTCACTCTCCAAAGCACTTAAATAGTAAACTTCAATAGGGTCTCAGCCACTACCAAATTATAAAACTAGCCATTTCTTCTAGGATAGAGTTTTGAAATTTCCTTCCATTTCAACATCTTCATATTCAGTTCACACAGGAATACTGATATAAAAATAAACTTCCATTTCTTATAAGAAAAACATTAACTTAATTCACAGTTAGCTTTTTCCCACAACACTCAGTGCTCCAGTGGCTCCTGGGAACAGAGGTATATTAGTAATAAAAATGGAGTATTAAAAGTCCATGACATGGGAGTAAAAGGAGACCATACCTCCTTCCCTCCCCCTACCTGAATCAGAAAAGGTTTTTCCTGAAATGAGAAGGGACAGGCTTGGGCCTGCTGAGGTAAGCCTGTGGGTCTGCAGGATTCTCACCTCAGGGTGTAACTGCAAGGTACTGGGGAAGAGACAGGAGGGCTGGGCGTCTAGCCTGGAACCTAATAAGGAGATAAGAGCCCACACATGGCATGTTGGTCCCCATATTAATCTTCTTGCCCATTTTAGAACTGTTATCACACTAGGCAAGTTCACTGTCAAGCCGAGCATTATCTTACAATTTTATTCATCCGCGCCCTTCACTTTTACCTCTCCAAGGGTCTGTACTGGGACTAGAGAAAGCATTTCAATCTGTTCCCTGGGCTATGCAGTTTCAAAGGGAAAAAATGGTGCTTGAGGTCCCTGTGGTCCCTGCCACTTCTTAGGGGGTTGATGTCCTAACACTAAAGTTTAAATTCATTACTGCCCTTTACAAAAGTTTCCCTGAAGGCTTCAGTTTAAAGGTAAATAATTTCATCTTTTTATTGTGTTTGAAGGGTTTTCATTGTATCAATACAGATAGCAAATTCATCCTCCTAGCCACCAGAATGAAAAACAATGATTTGGCTATGACTTAATCCTTGCCTTCTAGCTAAAATATCATTAGTTACATGATAAGCAAATCTTTACATGGTCATCTGGAATTATCTGCATCTGCGTGCTACTAGCAACTTTCCCATCCTGATTTTAAAGTGGAACAAAAGCAGGTAAGTTACAGATGCAAATTCCTACGCTAAATTATTTCTATAGCTATGTCAATGAATTTGCTTCCTTCCCCTAGCCAGATGGAAGAGGGGATGCCATAATGGACAATGGATATGGGAGGCAAATGCCTTGCAACTGATTCACTGTAATGAGTCACTGAGGGCTGAACAGGCCCCCACAGGGACAATGACACTGGAGTGGATCTACACCAGGCATATGAATGCTTCATGTTTAACTAAAGCCAAAGCTAATTCTAAACATTATTGGGCCCATACTTTTAGTCTGGTAGGAGAGAGGCCGTCGCATTTGACTTTTCTTGAAGAAAGAGTCCTAGGCCAGGGGACAACTGGATATTTTCTCAAAGGCTGATTGAAAGCATCCACTTTAACGGGCCTTTTTCATATTTTACATGGATACCAACAGACCCCAGACCTGGATTCTAGTCCCTATGAGGAATCATGCCACCTGGAATTTCTTCTAACTTCTTCAAGAATGATAGGGCTGCTGCAACATCACAGGTCAGCAAGTGTTTCCAGGTTAGCACATGGTTCAGAGCATGGCAGGAGATCAGGCTTAAAGCTCTCCAGATGGACGAAGCTGGCTTAGGCAGGGGAGGGAGGCACTCGGAGACCTGAAACACCCTGAAGGCTGTTTGTAAACTTCTGAAAAAAAGCAGAGAGTTTCTCAGAAGGTATTTCAAGAGTGACAGAAAAGTGGGTCCGCCTGGCTCCTAGCTTCTGCTGTCACTGGAGAGGGACTTCTGCCTAGCACTTCACACGCTCATTCCCCTTGTACAGGGCTGGCAGCTGTTGCCGCTGGGTGGTCCCTGCTAACTGCCGACGTGGGAGAGCAGAAGCAAGCCTTCAAAAGGTGCCCTCAGAAGCAAAAGGCTCCACTTCACCACCCAGCTGAGACACGCTCTGTGGGTGATAACCAGTGACAAAGGAAGCTCAAGAGCTGACATGCATGCTGGTCAGCCAGGTGGAGGCGCTGCCCGAGATTTCCCACTCTGTGAGGAAGCTGGCAAGGTAGGGAGGGACTGATTCCTTGGGTTCCTAGAAGTTCTGCTTTGGGGCCCACTGAGCCGAGGCCACTAGACCTAAGACCTGTGCTGTCTCACTGGTGCATTCCCCTCTGAGGCCACCCATACCCTGGCCCTCTGTCTGAGCATGAAGGAGACACACCAAGATGCCGCAGACAGTTGCCTAGAACAGCATGTAGTAGTTCAGAGGAACCCAGGAGCACTGACTCACCAAAGGAAAATACAAGAACCTCATTCTCATGCTGTTATCTTTACATCAGCACTTCTGAGCTTAGACTTAAACAGCACAGGAAGCCAAAGTGTTTGCGTGCAGAAGTGCTGAAAAACAGGGTCCTTCCAGCAAATTCCCCAGTCTGTTTGTGTCCTCCAGGAGAGTCAAGCCTTTCTAACCACCCACGCCCAACTTAGAAACCCCCAAACCTAAAGATACCTCTAAAAGTAACCATTCCTTGACCTGAATTAGTAAGTCCCCCCTCAACCCTTGAGAGGCAAGAAGGGAGTGCTGCCCAAGAAGGGGGGAAAAAGGTGAAACAGCCTCTAAACACATTTTTTTTTTCTTTTATAAATTATATATATATATTGCTGAAATGATGGCTAAACCCACACTGCAGAGAAGGAAAATGTATTAGTTGTACAGTTTACATTTCAATGCCCAAACTTATTTATATATTTACATAAAAGATATGACCTTGATTAATCAATGTCTATTTGCATTTCCACACATGAATTTCTCCAATCTTGAATTCCATATCAAGGAGTTGCAGTAAAAATACTTTTTTTTTTTTTCCCTTTTTGTCTTTTTCCGTGTCCGGCAATGGATTGCAACCCTCAGTGTCGCCCCCGCACCGGACCGGGACCGGCAACGGGATCGCAACCCTCGGCGTTGCTCCCGCGCCCCGCCCAGCCAGTGAGCGGGAACTGGTCTGCACGTGGGATCCGAACCCTCGGCGGGAGCGCC